TATGTATATGTGTGTGTGTTCATGCATACATACATACATACACACACACACACACACACACACACACACACACACACCACACACATACATATATATATATATATATATATATATATATATATATGTATATATATATATATATATATATATATATATATATATATGCATACAAATATACACATATACATACTTACATACATACATACATACATACATACATATATATATATATATATATATATATATATATATATATATATATATATTATATATATGCATACAATATACCTACACATATACATACTTACAGTACATACATAACATACATATACTTATATATATATATATATATATATATATATATATATATTATATATATATATATATATAATATATATATACATATACCTACACATATGCAGTATATATATACACATTCACACACAACCGTGTATAGTTTATTTTTATATGGAAGCTGCAAAACGACCAAAAAGGGAATCAAGAGAACCCAAGAAGACCACTGCTACAAACACATTCATTTCGCAAAATGAAAACATTAGTTCGTGACGAAATCGTTTTATTTCGCAAAATGAAAACATTAGTTCGTGACGAAATCGTTTTTATTCTCGCCAAAAAAAAAAAAAAAAAAAAAAAAAAAAAAAAGAAAAAAAAAAAAAAAACGTCTGGCTGCCTAAAGTTTATCTCTTTTTTCCTTCTTTTGTCAATGACGACAGCATCCCATGTTATACCGGAACGTTGCGTGCTAATGCCAGAGGCTCTGAATCATCTTGAACTGACTGACAGGACGGTCACATCGATACAGATCTAGGAGTGTTTTTAACTAGAAACCTTCTCCTCTCTCTCTCTTGACTACTACACCAACACTACATTGTACAAAGCTTAGTCATCCAAGCTGTATTTACAGACTCAAACCGTTTATAGCCCAACATATAGAGACAACCTACTGTATTTTACTAATGTACAGTATAGCCCTTTTACCCACGGTACATCAGCAGTTTTACTCAAACACTAATACTTGTTAAGGTAGGCTTTTACTATGGGTCACAAGGCCTCAGTACCTGCTTTACAGATCCAGTCAAAATAACCCGTAAAAGCCTCAGTGAAATTCCTTCTCATCCTGACTTTTCTGTAATGCTCTCTCCGCTCAACGCGCTTTCTTTCATTGGAAAATTCTCTGAAAATGTAAATATTAATGGCAGTCTAAATGGCATGTGGGTTTTTAATTTGTATTAGATGGGGTAACTATCGAAGGAAGAAGAGTGTCGAAGGAACTCCTCGAAGGTCTGTGGGGAAAGCAACGCCGTGGTTCTTGGGGAGAAAGATCGGTTTGTGGCTGTGGAGGAGACAGCTGTGTTGGGTTAACGAAAGTATGCAGATTTCTCGTGGTATTTCTAACAGGGGGAATAGCTGTTTAAGAATAACTTCAACAGTAGAACCAGAACAAGTTTCCTTCTAGCATTCTCTTTATCTTTTTTACTAAATAATACCCAACGGAGGAGTGTGGGGAGGGGGAAATTTATAGTTTACAACAATACAGTTAAGAGTGTTTATGATACTCTAGATATAGATATATATTTTTTTTCTCTCTCTGTTTTTTAGTTAGATACATCAGCAGTTTTACTCAAACACTAATACTTGTTAAGGTAGGCTTTTACTATGGGTCACAAGGCCTCAGTACCTGCTTTACAGATCCAGTCAAAATAACCCGTAAAAGCCTCAGTGAAATTCCTTCTCATCCTGACTTTTCTGTAATGCTCTCTCCGCTCAACGCGCTTTCTTTCATTGGAAAATTCTCTGAAAATGTAAATATTAATGGCAGTCTAAATGGCATGTGGGTTTTTAATTTGTATTAGATGGGGTAACTATCGAAGGAAGAAGAGTGTCGAAGGAACTCCTCGAAGGTCTGTGGGGAAAGCAACGCCGTGGTTCTTGGGGAGAAAGATCGGTTTGTGGCTGTGGAGAAGACAGCTGTGTTGGGTTAACGAAAGTATGCAGATTTCTCGTGATATTTCTAACAGGGGGAATAGCTGTTTAAGAATAACTTCAACAGTAGAACCAGAACAAGTTTCCTTCTAGCATTCTCTTTAACTTTTTTACTAAATAATCTTCTCATATAATGATCAGATCTTCAATTTAATAAAAAAACAGAATGCTAACTGAGGCTTTATGAACAGAAGTTATCTTTTGTTTTTTCTCTTTTTCTTAACTATAATTTATTAAAACTGTTGTGACTGCCTGACAGCTAAAGTAAGCAGAATAAGCAAGGAAAAAACACAGTCAACTTACCCAGACAGCACACCAAGGACTAGGTTGAGCATGAAAAAGGACCCCAAAACGATAAGGGGCACAAAGTAGAGAAAGTTGAAATTGCTACCGAGCGCATCATTTGTCTGGAAAAAAGGAAAAAAAAAGAAGTGAGTTGTTAGAACATGGAATAACATGCACTCATTTCGTCATGTGCGTGAAGTGACTTATGGAAGAAGGCTTTCTGTAATTTAATATGATTGTTTTTTTATATCTTTTAATGAGGAATAATGTAGATGTATCTATTAGGGGAAAAAAATCATCCTTATACAGACATACCCAATCTAAACACGACACACTTCCACAATCGGCATAATGACTTACACACACACCAAAAAATAATAATAATCGACGTGTCAACACCTAATCACCAAGAGAGGTGAGCTGACATGACAAACAAAGGCCTGGGAAGGATAGAGAAGGTTCACCTCTTCTGCATCCTCCTTACAATCTCGGAAACAAAAGAAAAGGGACAAAGAGATCTCGAACCTTGTTAAGCACACTTGGAAGTCGGGTTACAATGGCCGAGGGAGTGAGGGGACTCGCGTGTTAATGCGTAGAACTCTGTGCTTTTTTTCTATTCATTTAGAATTATTATTCTTTGGAGGGAGGAGGGGGGAAGGGGGAGGTGGGGGTGTATTGATACGTAGAACTCTGTTTTTTTTTTTTTATTCGCTTAGAATTATATATTTCTTTGGAGGGAGAGGGGAGAAAGATGGGGGGTGGGGGTATCAGTGCTTAGATTCTTTTTTTTTTCTTTTTTATTAATTTAGATTTATTGTTTTTTGAAGAGAGAGAAGAGAAGGGGGAGGGGTAAAATGAAGTGATGATGGAATGCAGTTGCGCGCGTGTTTCTGAATAGAGTTAGCATTTTATTTTCATTTATTTCATTTACTTTTCATTGTGTAGTCTAAGTACAGATCCGTGATCTATTATAATGAAACTACTTAGAGAATGAACATACAAAATAGTGCCGATGATTTTCAACCATATAAAAAGTATATCTACAGATTAAAAAAAAGAAAAGAAAATCACACACACGTAAAAGGAACCAAAAAAGATATATCCCCTAAACTCTCTCAAACCCTTACAAGTTCCTCCCACACTTACCCAGTACAGTATGGACGTCCAGCCTTCTTGCGTGATGCACTGGAACACCGTCAACATGGCAAAGCCGATGTTGTCAAAGGACGTGATGCCGTAGTTGGGACCATCCCAGAGCTCCAAACAGGTGGAGATGTTATAATTACACACGAAGGAACCCGATGGAGCAAAGGATACGTTGTCTGTGTTACATGGTGTTGGCATCTCTCCTTCTGTCACTATTTGACCTGTGGGGATGAATGGGGGGTTTAGTGGCCTTCTCCAGGAGGGTCTTGGGGGAGGGGAGAGGGGGGGGGGGGCGAAGGGGAAGGGGGTTAGTGTTCAGGAGGGTCTTCGGGGAGGGGGGTGGAGGGGGAGGGTGTTAGTGTCCTTCAGGAGGGTCTTGGGGGAAGGTGGGGGGGGGGGGGCATTCTGGAGGCAAAGAGGGAAGAGGGAGACGATTGGGTTGTTTATGTTGGGAGTGAATGTGGAAAATAAAAAGGTTTTCTAGTAACAAAACTACAAAAACAGGAGCTGCATTTGGCGGACTCGATACAGTATTTCATCATTAAGGAAAATCATGAGCCTTATCTTAAAAAAAAAAAAAACATAGTCAAAAGATATCAGTTTTCTGGTGTTTCCCCCCCAAAAAAAAAAAAAAAACATGTACTGTAGATCTCAAAAGATACAATTTACAGAAAATTTACTCATAACACTCTGACACAATTGAAAAAGATATGATATCTTAATGCAATATATATATATATATATATATATATATATATATATATATATATATATATATATATATATATTATTTATATACATAGACATACATATCACTCTCTCTTTATATAAAGATAGACAAACAAATAGATAAAGAGAGAGAAACAGAGCAAAACAGACACTCAAACTAACACACGGGAAAAAAAGAGAGACCAATACATTACCTAAGTCTTCTAAACTGTAGCAGGTTTTATGGAGAGCACCCGAGTAGAATTCAAGGCCTATGATGGCGAATATAACAATGGCGAACAGGACGAGCAACCCAATCTGCAGCAACGGAGCCATAGCCTTGATGATGGACTTGAGGACGACCTGCAGGCCTGGGGATAGATGGGGAGGTTCACACGGGGCTATCTGCAGGGCGCGCTGCTGGGGAAGAGAGGGGGGTGGCGGGGGGTGGGGAGAAAGGTGGGGGAGTGGGGAGTTGGGGGGAGGGGGAGATGGGGATGAAGGTGGGGAGGTGGAGGGGGAGGGGGAGATGGGGAGGAAGGTTGGGAGGTGGAGGGGGAGGGGGAGATGGGGAGGAAGGTGGGGAGGGGAAGGGGGAAATGGGGAGGGGAAATGGGGAGGGGGTGGATAAATAGGGAGGGGAGGAGAGCGGAGTGGAAGGGGAGGATAGATGGGGAGGGGAAAGGAAGAGAAGGGGATGAGAGGGAGGAACATGTGGTTGGGGTTTGCAAGAGGTGGAGACGGTGGGGTGGGAAGGGGGGGGAGAGGAGATAACTCGGGGTTGGAAGGAGGGGTGAGAAAAGAGAAGAGGGGAGAAGGAGATGGAAATGGAGGAAAGGGAGGGAAGGGAAAGGGGAAGTGGGAGAAAGAAGGGAGAACACTTGGGGGTTGGAAAGGGGAGGGGAAAGGGAGGAGGGAGGGGAAAGAGGAGGGGAAGTGGGTGAGATCAGGAGAGGGAGGAGGAGGGGGGGAATAAGGGATGGGGTGTTGTTGGGGTCAGTAAGAAGGAGAAAAGGATGATTTTGGATGGGGGGGGGGGAGAGGGAGAGGGAGGGGGGAAGGGGGAAGGGAGGTGTCGCTGATGCTGGAAATGGGTCGGGTAGGGGAGGAGGTTTTGCAAGAAGGGGAAGTTATTGGGGGGTTTGGTTAGAAGGATGGGGGAGGGGAGGGGAAGAAAGAGGAAAGGGGGAGACAGCCGGAAGGGAAGGGGAAAAGAAAGGGACAAGGAACAGGTGATGTTGTGAAGGGAAGGGGGGGAGGGGAAGGGGAGGCAGGGAGTCGAGGGGCATGGAAAAGGTAAATAGGTTTCTTCATGTATGTATTTCAAAAGAGAGAGGGGGTTAAACGGGAATGGGGGGGGGGAGGGGTCTCAGAGGGGAGGAAAACGAGAAGGGTGAGGGGGGAGGGAGAGGGGGAGGGGGAGGGGGAGGGGAAAGAGGGAAGAGGGGTGAGGGGGAGGGAAAAGGAGGAGGAGGAGAAGGAAAAAAAATGAGGGAAGAGGGGGGAGGGGGAGAGAAGAGCAGGGAGGGGAGGGGAAAGAGAGGGGAAGGGAGGGAAGAAAGGTTGTGTGTGTGAGGGGGGGGGGGGTAGAATTTCTACTGTAAGAAGACCATGAAGGGGGAACGGGACGTATGAATGAGTGATAATGCAAATCATTATATGACGATGAAGAAGAGGAATAAAAAAAAAAAGAAAAAGAAAAAGAAAAAGAAAAGAAAAAAAAAAAGATTGAGAAGAGGAAAAAAAAAAGGACGGAAAAGTTGATACGAAGAGAAAAAAAAATATTGTCTGAAATCTTTGGACCGACAAAAAGGGACCAACAAAAATAATAGATAAAAAAAATATATATATATTATTCAAAAGTGGTATTTGGAAACTATGCGCACCACTGAAAGACGCAAATACTGAAAATATCTAATCATGTGACTTGTCCAGTTACGGTAAAGTTTGTAAAATATGCATACCACTTATAGCAATGTTGCACCCATACAACATAGGCAATGGAGGAATGCTTTACCGATCAATACCATGTGGAATCTATGCAACATAAAGAAAATGAATATGTCGGTCCTCATTAGAAGGGATAAACAAAAGAAATGCGTTAGAAAGGTTAGAAAGAAGAATGAAAGGTCAGGATAAACGTCATGAATGTGATTTTTTTTTTTTTTCATTTGTGACAAGATCAAGGAAGAAGCGATGGTGGGGGAAGGGGAGGAGGAGGGAGGAAGGGAGGGGAAAGGGGGGAGGAGGAGGAGGGAGGGGGAGGGGAAGGGGGGAATTTTAAAGTCAAAATGGGGATGGGGCAGAGGTTTAGTGTTAGGGAGGGGGGTGGAGGGAAAAATAGGGAGGGGAGGGGAAGGGGAGAGGGGGAGAGGGTGTCACATTGGCTACTGTAAGGCTGTTGAGGCAGGTAAGCGCATGCGGGGGGAGGGGGGAAAGGGGGGAGGGGGTGGTGTACAAGGGTGGTGGTGAAAAAAGCGATGAAATTAGAATATAGTCGAAAAAAGAGAGTAGGAGGAGGGGGGGGGAAGTAGAGGGTGGGGTGGGGTGTCCGTGGTGGGGGGAGGAATTCCTGGAAGGGACGGGGATAGAGGGTGGGGGGGGGGTGAAGTTAGGAAGAGGAACGAAGTTGAAGAAGTACTTAAGGATGGGAAAAAGGGCTCTAAGCGAACGCGTTAGAAGCGAGAAGAGGAGATAAA